CTCTTGTTCTTCTTGTTCTTCTTGTTCTTCTTGTTCTTCTTGTTCTTCTTGTTCTTCTTGTTCTTCTTGTTCTTCTTGTTCTTCTTGTTCTTCTTGTTCTTCTTGTTCTTCTTGTTCTTCTTGTTCTTCTTGTTCTTCTTGTTCTTCTTGTTCTTCTTTGTGTTCTTTTCTTCTTGTTCATATCTGCTTTCGTCCTCTTTAATTCTTTCTTTTTTATATAGTACAAAATTTTAAATTGGGCAATTACAAAAAAGGCAATAAAGTTTGAGCATTAGATGTTGTAATTTCCTTCATAATTTGTTGAGAAATGAAATCAGTTGTTAATGAATATTTTTTTTCAATTCGAGATGGAATCTTTTAATAAACAACTAATCGACATCGCGTGCAATTTCACTGCTGCTATAACTTCAGTGGTGGCATAAATGGCCTAATGCGTGACAATTTTTTTGCGGATTGCTGCCTGCAGGTGGAATAAAAGAAAATCAATAAGTCATAAGTAAATCAGTTYTGTTTATTCCAATTGAATTGCCTCCACCAAAAATAAATTAAGAAAAGCAAACCGACATTAAAAATGAAATGAGTAACCGGTACAAATGTACTGAGGGGGCTTATGGAAATGTTGACGATAATAGTAGTTTCAAAATGAAGTAATCAAGCCATAACACAAGCTGGGATTTAATTTTTTTCTAATTGGCAATATTCAGTTATAAACTAGATCAAGCACGATTGCATATATGATAGGGGGAGTACACAATGGAGTTTTTAATTTCAAATCTCAAAACAACTGTTCTTTTCAATTTTGAAACCCGTTATAAACATCGACTCTCAAAGGCTGTACTTATATACTTACGGGACTCAAACGCTTCTTTGGATATATATGAACGCAGTTAAAGATCATGACGCTTTATATTATCATTATCATCATCATTTGTCTTCAAAGAAGTCAGGAAATACAGRCTCAAAGTAAGTTTAATTGCTTTCATATKTMAAAAAGTTYTTMGCTYAAATTTTCAGTTGTTAATATACTTTGGATGAATTCTCATTGTGGGTTTSCCATTTGTGCCATTGATTTCGAACTTAGTTACTATACTTTGATTGCTTGTCTTTTTCAAGGGTAATTTGATTTTAGTTTG